CCTTTAAGCTCATATTTGAAAATATCATCATCAACCCCCATGGGCCAGTCTGAACAGTTCCAACACATACACATTCAGCAGCCATTTTGAAAGCTCCTAAAGGTGAAGCCCTGATCCAGTGGAGAGTGAAATGTTATCAGGCTCCACGCGTGGAAGGTGGCTAAGACTCCTCCTTGTTCACATACCTGCCACACACTCTAGGCTGGCAACTCTGATCAGCTACAGGCTCCCTGCCAGGATCTCACCAGCCCTTAGGAAGAGCCCCACCACCATCTAGAGCTCGGAGGCTCTGCAGCTTTAGCTGAGCTTCGTCTTCACCTTGAAAGGAAAATAAGCTTTCTGCCCAGGGGTGTGCATCTGAGGCTTAAGAGGTGTGCCAAGGTGTGCCGTACTAACAGCTCCTTAAGCTTTTGTGGCTGGAAGGCTTTTCTTTCACATTGACCAAAGATATTTGTGATCCCGTGACCCAAATCAATATCTAAAATAATACCATGTTTTAAACTGACTTTTGTATCCCTATCTGTGCATGTGCTGAATGAAAAAAAAAAGACAGCTTTTGTCTCATTTGAAAGGGACTACTAAAAAAAAGTGTCATGTAGTGAAACTAATTACCTCAGTCAGAAATCCAAATGACTTTGTCGATTTGAAAAGAGCCTTAGCACTTTCTGCCAACCATAATTGTGATAACAGCCCAACAAAGAATGGCCATTATTGCGCTTTAATTGCCTCAAGTAACAATGCATACCCCAGTGATGGGTCGGCTCATTTATCATGTTCATTGTGGTTCACTTGTCTCCCAAAGTGCTCGGCTTCCTTGGAACACTCTTCCATCAAGCGTCAGCTACTGGCTGATTGCTTCCCACCACACTGTTCTGATTAGCTTTTTAGAGTCTACTCCTCCTGGAGGCTCCCTTTCTTCCCTCCTGCTGGGGCAGGGACAGGGGCAGGGGCAGGGAGGGAGGCAGGGGCAAGAGGCATTGGCCTTCCTGCTGCCAGACAGTAAATCAACCAGCTTAGTGCCTGGGCAGTCTCTGCTTCTTCACACAGGGTCCTGAATTCAGGAGTTCAGTGATTTAACTGTTTGGCTTGGCATGGCTCTTGGTTTTTCTTGATTCAAATGTTGATTTGTAGAAAAACTTCAAAGATTTGCATGGGCAGAAAGAGTCTTTTTGGTAATTTCATTTGGGAAAAAATCAGCTTGTTGGGTTTTGTGACTGTTAGCCATAATTTGTAAGTACACATTTTAGAAACCCGAATAAAAAGTTTGGCTTTTACAGTTACTAGAAATCTCCAACACGATGGATCAGAAAAGTATCCACCATGAGGAAAAGTGACCTCTGTGTCTCAGTGAACCCATCTGAAGCTATAAGGAAATTCTAAGGCATTTCTTTGGTGGTTAGTCTCTGGGAAAACACTTTATCACTGAGGTGTTTGAGGAGGGTGTACACTACAGCTGTCCAGGAACAGTCAGGAAGTTGAGAGTCTCCTCAGTCAAAGACAATTAACCCGGAGTCATTGCCAGGGACTTTGCAAAAATCTGTAAGCCTACATTTTCAGAGGGAGGGGCTGGAGAAATTGCTCAGCAGATATGAGCAATTGTTGCTGTTCCAAGGAACCCAGGTTAAGTTCTCAACACTCGTAGTGCCTCACTACCATCTGTGGCCAGTTCTAGGAGATCTGACTGCCTCTTGTCTCCTTAGACACAATGTAGCCACATGGTACCCATCCACACATTCAGGCAAACATCCACTTGCATAAAATAAAGATAAATAACCTTAAAATATATTGTAGAAGCAAAGGCAGAAGGCTGAAGGAAATGCTTGAGCCTTGCAATTAGTTTGGGGGCTAATTCTGACTTTTCAGCCTATACTTTTTTTTCCGACATCCAACTTTCTTCTCTGAGTTTCAGTTTCTCTGTCTGTCAATCAAGGGACTCAAGGAAAAGATTTGTAGGGAAGAGAGGAGGGAGAAGGAGGGTGAGGGGTGAGTGGTGGGAGGCTCCGTATGCATCATATACAAGTGTGAAATTGTCAAAGCACAGATTTATTTAATAACAAATGTATTGGCCAGGGAGTGGTGGTACATAACTTTAATCCCAGCACTCAGGAGGCAGAGTCTGGTCAGTCTCTGAGTTTGAGACTAGCCTGGTCTACAAAGCTAGTTCCAGGACAGCCAGGGCTACACAAAGAAACCCTGTCTTGAAAAACCAAATATATTTATATTATATATATACATATATATAATATAAATATATTTATATATATTTAACTAATAACAAAGATTAAAATGGATCGGTTCCAATAGATTTACATAAGCCTATTTTCATATCACAGAAAAATAATTTGAAGATAGTTCTATATTTAAATCAAGTTGTCTTCTATATGAAACAGGATATTTTTTCATGCTGCTTTAAATGTTTTTAAGGATTGTCTTTGTTAGTTCTTTGAGAGTTTTGTGGAATGAGTTTTGACCTATTGATGATACCCTCCAACTCCTTCCAGATCCACGCCTGCAGCTCTACCCAACCAATTTCTTGTTCTCTCTTTCCCGCTCCCAGCAAGTCCAACTTGTGTTCTCCATGTATTCTTGGATGTGTGGCCTTCCACCCAAAACTTGTGGTCAGCCTGTCAGTGGCAGAAGTCTTAAAGAAAACTGACTTTCTTTTCTCCCAGAAGCTATCAATTGCCAGTGCATCCTTGGATAGGCCTGAGAGTTCATAATTCCATCACTCTCCATGCTTCAATTTTGCATGGCTTGACCTTGAACTGTGTTATACATACTGTCGTAACTACTATGAGTTTGTATGTACAGTTGCCTTGTTTTAAACCTGTGTTCTACTTCTAAAATTAAAATAATAGTGATACTACACAAAACAGATATAAAAGGAAAAGAATAAATGATTACAAAAAGAAAAACAAAACAACAATAAACAAACCCACCAAAGTATAAAACCAACATATTGGAATAGCATCTTCCTGCAGTCCTGCCAGGTAGAAGTGTGGTTGATTGAAACTGGAGACTTGTCTCTATGATCCTGCTCAACCTGGTGCTGCACCTGGAATGACCTCAAGTCACCTGATCAATACACAGCTTCCCTTCTTTTAGAGCAGGAGTACCGCTGAGCATCCTTAGCTTTGAAGACACTGCACAGTGCATCCATCTGCATGGCTAAGGTCTAAGCCAAGGGGTGTTTCTCAAGTGTGCTGTGGGAGCAAAAGCAGGTAGAGCACCGAGTACCATTGCTGTGTTGAGTGACAGCTTCCTGGTCCTGCTCAGTCCTGAACACCCTGCTGGAGGGAGAAGGTTGCAATGGGTATCCATACAGTCTGAGTCTTAGGCTAGCACAGTGATTTAGCTCATTGCCAAAGAAGGCATTGCCATCGCAAAAGATAGGGCCATCAAAGGGAGAAGGTTGCAATGGGTATCCATACAGTCTGAGTCTTAGGCTAGCACGGTGATTTAGCTCATTGCCAAAGAAGCCATTGCCATCGCAAAAGATAGGGCCATCAAGCCCAGAATCCTTCACCAAGAAGCCTCTTGCTTCCTGAGCCTCTCAATAGTGTGTGTCTAGCACTACCTCCCCCCAACCTGTTACAGCCTCTAACCCAGAATCCTTCACCAAGAAGCCTCTTGCTTCCTGAGCCTCTCAATATGTGTGTGTCTAGCACTACCTTCCCCCAACCTGCTACAGCCTCTTGCCACCTACTTCTCTCTAGAGGTTCTAGCAGGTTCACTT